GTTACAAATTTAAAAATAATTGTTCGTTGGTTTGCTATACATATGTTATTTTATGTGAACAAAATTAAACATCCAAATGAAAATAATTTTAAAATTTTGAAAAAGTCTAATATCCAGCTGTTGATTGTAGGTATACTTTTTTAGCAAACAGTTTGGTATAATATACTAGTATACTACTGTTCATAGATTTGTAACTCTATTCCTGATTTTTCAATGACTACTTTACGTTTATTGTTAAATTTGTTTTAGAAACATGAAGTCTAACTATGATTGATATTTCATATTTTAATGTAATTCAGTAAAATATTATAATCTCAACTTTCTGAAAATACCTAATAAAAAAAAAAAAAAATAAATAAAAATGAAAGTGGATAACTGCAGTACTACACAGTAGGTATTAAGTAATCTCGTAATTGAGTAAATTACTTCAATTTAAAAGTGAAATTTAGAGTCAATGATAAATCATTGTATACGAAAAACGTTTCTAAGCGAAAACAGTAAAGTTAGTCACCTATTATATACTACTATGTTTATTTCATTACATGTGGTTTGATATTGATAATTTGTTTTAAATTTTAATGTTTATTTAATTTTTACAGAAAATATTGCAATAATAATAATTATCAAATTAAAAAAAAATATTTACTTAAATTAGGAAAAACAACAGGAAGTTTAATTCGAAATTAATAAAATTGTTTGGCTGTGTGTTACTTACGTTCCAAAAAAAGGTATATTTTTCAATTAGTAAATTTAGTCAGTAATAACTTACGTCCCGTTTTGGCGATGAAAGTCGGTTATGTAATTATTATCGATATTATCTACTAAAATCGCTAAAATCGATACCTAGTTCATAAACTTAACTTAATATAACGTGAATTTTTATATTATTATTATTATTGTTAAGGCAATATTATTATATTTGAACTGAACTATAATTTACATTATCATGACAAAATGTAAAACACACGTAATTTTATATTATTTTCAATTGTATACTTAACTTATTTATACATATGTATTATAAATTAAAATGAACATCAATGTATTTTTTTATTATTTATATTTTGATATCGATTATATTGATATTTTCGGGAGACAATAAGGTTATAAAAAAGTTATACCTAGACCCATATAGACTATGACACTTTTTGAATCTTTTTTTATGGACGCAACTCACCTAGTGATAATAATTTTGGACGCAAATAGTATGTTCCCAATTGATTTACTTATTTGGTTGTATTTTTGCTGTGGTTATGCTCGTGATTTTTAAGGTTACTAAACGATTATTTAATTTAATTAGGTATAACTTATACATTTATGCATAGAAAATTTAAAAATTTAAATAAAAAAAAGTTTTTTTTTTAATTATTACAGAGAATTTTTTATTTTGACTTGGCAAAAGTACCAACAAAATCCAATATGCTACCAGGAACTTTTATCAAAGTTAATGAACCATTTTATTCTAGAAAAAAGTTGTCTGACATAAAAATAAATAGAAACACACATCAAAGTAAAATTAATACATTCTTTGATAAGAAACTAAAGTTTACAATTTATAAAAAAATGAATTTTTAAAAAGTCATTGACGATACTGGGAAATACTCGTGATACTTAAGACGTAAGCTGTTCACATACTATATGTATAATATTAAATATGAATACAGAATAATTAAAATGGACAATTTAAGGAAATATATTGATAAATATTTGTATATGTTCAATTTACAACATACGCTAATTTTAATTTGTTTTGCTAAATCATTGAGTGGAAAAATTGGTAATTACCTAATTAAATTCGTATGACTATAAATACGCATATGCATAATAATTAGCAATATTGTGTAAAGGGTATTAAAAATACATCCATATTTCATGTAGGTTGTGTATTAAATACAAATATAAAATACGAACTGAGTTATAATGGTATAAAAACCATACACAGCTTCCTACACATTTTAGTTCAACCGAAAATGTTTTACGGTGATATTGCAAACAATATTGCTAGTTGTTTGGTGTTTGCGAACCATGTTGCCAAGTTCAGTGTAATCAAAATTTATGTATAAAATAAAGGATTAGGCATGAAAAAAAATAATGTTTACAAATATAATAAATAATGATACACTGTTTCCTAATGCAATTGGATTTCTGTCAACATTTTACAATTTTGAGCTTAGAAAGACGAATAATTTTACGTTTTATGTGTACAAATTATGTTTATATGCAAGTGAGAAATGAACAACCGAATTCAAAGAAAGTTTAAAGATAAAAAATATAAATATTTATGGTAATATTCTAAGCGATACGTAAACTTTACCATTTCGATTTTTAAATATTTGACTATTTCTTCTTCTTCTAATAATATGTATATGTAGACACGACACGATGGCTCAATCATTTTCAACCACATTGCGTTTTTAATTTCAGTACAGACGTGCCGTTTTCATTTGCACTGTTACACTCTTGTTTAATAGCAGAAATATATATTTTTCTCATTTCCCTTAGCGGAACTGCTGCAGCTTTCGAGAAATAGTACACGGTAAAGCTATTGTCCCAAGCCACAGTACTGAATGATCAACGTGTTTCTTGAGTTGTTAAACAACCAGGCGTGCGCACCATCTATTGTTATCATTAATACGAAAAAAAAATGAATGGGGAAAAAAACCGAGTGAAAAACTATTTAAAAGGAAGAAAAATACAATTTTTAGATTTCAAGCGGAGCGATGAATGTATTAATCTTAGAATAATGTATGTGTGCACATTTATTTTATTTTAATATATCTGTTATACTTGTAGTGATCAATAAGCTCGATTACTAAATTATACAACACATATATTGATTTTAGTATATTACCAATATTGTACATCTTGATGACGTATACTATCAGAGTTTGGAAATGCCCAGTTCCGTATATATAGAATTATAAGTTTCAAACACAATCACGTGTATTAAGTTGTTGTACATACGAAATTTGTTCGGAATAGTTATGATATGTTACAGATTTGAATACGATATTTGTATCTCTCCTGATGACTGTATTTCGTGTACAATTATATAAGACGCACTTACCTAACGATTAAATGATAAAAGTGATGATTAATGTTCAGTTATTTGTAGCATACTATAGTTAGTCTAACTACGATTGACGATTTAACTTTAATTTTTATTGAACTATAAATTATATAAATTATGTTATAGCGAAAGATATAAATATTATTATTTTATTCTAGATTTCATAGTATTATAGGACTATTAATGTGTTGGGTATAATGCCGATGTTTTTATTATTTTCTATATACACATTGCATTTTCAAAACATATTCAAAACTATATATTATTTTTTAACATGGGCTTATAATTATCACTTATACCGTGATACATGCTTAAATTTTTCTGCGATACGTTGATAATGACTTATAAGCTAATATTAACAATGATGCGTGCCTACATGAAATGTTATAATTATTATTATTGTAGTATATTAGATGAGACGTTTCGGGCAAAAGTTTGGTTAACCTACCGTATTATACTGATAAAAAATATCGTTAGAAATGGCATGACTGAAAAATTGTCTACACACATTATCATAATTCGTATGTAACGATTGAAATCGTATTTAATACATTCATTACACAGTGACCTACTCAATTATGAGGTACCCTCAAAACTTACTATACAGTAGTATAGACTACTCCGATTTTTTTCTTAATGTTAATTATTTTACAAAATACGATATATGAAATACGAGTAGGTACAGTATGATTATAATAATCGTAATAATTATTGTGCCAACGGCTTGAGTATAAAATATATTGTTTAACCTATTCCTTCTGACCTATTTGAGATTAAAAAAAAAACTCCCGTTTATAAAAAGAATTGTGTTTTAATGACCACATAGTTTAAAAAGGAGAACAAAAATATTACACAATTTTCGGTGTTTGTAAATTCCATGATATTCTTACCTATGCTATAAGACTATATGAACTCGCTCGTATTGATTACGTCTTCATAAAATAGTTTTTTGGTTATACACAATATACACTTAATATGCACCCACAGAATAACATATTTTATTTTTCTTATAGATATATTACAATTTTCTCAAAAATAAAGTTATTTTAAATTTCAAGCAGAATATAGCTTATATATGCCATATACTATTATTATTTATATATTATTTAATAAGGATCGTCATAAAAAATATTTACACTTTAAGACTAAGTTACGTTTTTGATTTTTTAGTCTATAGGATTGTATAAAAATAGTTTTTAAAACGTGTGATGTATAGATACTGAACCATAAATAATAATAATAATATGATTATTCCTCTTTATACGAGATAAAGACTATTAGGTTAAAATATTTTAAATGTTGTAGTTTTTGATTTTATTGTTTTATAATATCTGTTTGAAAATATAAATTCATTAATAGTTATTCAGTATAGTGAGTATTTATATTTTTAGCTAAGGCTTTAATAACATAAAATTTAGTATGCTATTTTAATAATGAAAATACTCCTCAGTTTAATAGTGGTTAATAACTCTACCTAACATAATTGTTTTTCCTTTGAATTAAATTTAATAAATAATTTTAATCCAAAATACTTAGATTAAAAACTTGTTTCCTCTACATTATTTTTGCAAAGACGTAAATATTTCGAAGTGTAATTAAGGATAAAACGAATTTTGTGTACTGTAAAATAAACGGAATGGATAGAAAATAATGTAATTTATAATAATATTACTATGTACATATATCGTGTTTTCGAGATAAACTCTCCTTAATAGTGATTGAATGAGAATTCCGGCTATTTACTCAAAGAATTATGACATCATACTTTGGGTGTATATTATATACATATACGAATTGAGTGTTCTTTAACCGTTTATAGGTATAGCGTACAAAAATGAATCATTAATATTAAGTTGTCGAGTTGAATTATTTATCGATGAACGTGCAATCCTAAAATGAACAGCATTTAGGAATATTATGGTGTACTTACGTGTTGAGCTCCAGGTCGAGGCGAAATTTATGGTTGAACGCTTTTATCAATATGGAAGTTCTGTGAAAATGTTTCCCCATCTGAAAATATACAAGCAAACCGTAACATTATATAACGAGTTGTATTATAAAGAGGAAGTGTCGTTTGTTAACATATTATTATCAATATAAAGATGCAGCAGCAGGTAAGTATACTTACAATAATATTATACGAATGATCGCGTGCGTTTATTGTTGGTAATATTATAAAAACGTTAGGTACCGGAAAATTTTATACAACGTCACAATCGTCACTAGGTTTTGTCTTGATAAAAACTGATTGGTCTTATATATCTAATATTTTTGATAAGATAATATATTTTATACTTTGAAGTTACAATTTCGGAATACTATCTACCTATATAATTATATACTGTTATAAGATTTTATATGGTTCACCTTCCGCATATTCTGTATTTAAATCGTGTGAAATAATAATAAATAACATATCCAACGAGAAAACAAATTTATCTAATACATGGCTGGTGGACTAGGCGGTGGAGTGATTATTAAGAAAAATATTGAAAAACTTAATTCTCTCTAAAATCTAATTGACTGTTCTCACTGCATTTTCCGAACTTGACATTCCTATCATGCACAGTTTATTGGATACTATCAAAGAGCACTATGACCCGGAATGGTAGAAAATCATCTGTAAAAGACAGCTTTGATCATATGACAAAGCTTAAGTGGCCTTTAACTCGCGGAAAACTTTATATGGCATACACTGTAGCACTTATATTATACAGTGAACGCCATACTATAACGTTGGGGCGTCTAGAAGAAAAAAAAATACATGGATGTCGTTTTTTTCTAGCCGATTTTATTGTTGTTTTTTTCCATTTTAATAGAATACTTTGCAGCTTTCGATGCATAAAGGGGAATTTTGTACTTTGATACATGTATAAAAAATAAAAATTACAACGTTTCTGAAAACCTAAAATATACAGAGTTGCCATAGAGGTTGAAAAAAAAACCTAGTACTTATGAATTTGGTTTTAAATATAATAATATTTGAGTTGTTCTTATTTGCCGTCCGCGTTTCAAATTAAATATTATTTACCGAAACTAACGCAGTTAAACTAACCGCCGTCCCAATATTAAAGTGTAGTATTTCATAGAAATCGTGACGCATTAGAGAGTTTCATAAGATTCCGGTACAACGATAATGTGATTCTGTTATATTATGCTGGAAAAAAATCTTTTTAATGTTTATTATTTTATGTACATTACAACATGCCCATGATTTTATATAGAATTCAAGAAATAAAAAAAATTCATATTTACGTAAATATTATATAAAACATTTACGAACAAGAAATTTTGATATTTTCAAAAGTAATTTGTTCATGCGTGTGTTAAAGTTTTTCAGACGAATTAGTACAGTTCAGATTGATGCACACAGCTTTGAATATATAGCTACTTATTTTCATATTTAAAATTGTTTAGAATATTTAACGAGAATATTAAGAAATATATTTTCAACAAATTATTATTATTATTTAAGGACATACCTACGTACGTAATGCTTCTGAGGTTTAAGACATTTAGGTACTGCAATCATGCTTAGGTATAGAAATTTAAAGGCCATAGAAATTATGTTTACTCAAATTAGTATACGATTCGTTGTTACGTTATCACAGTTTTTAATGAAGAATTTTCTTTTTTTTCACACTCCGTCATTTTTTTTTAGTTTTTTTTTTTTTTGAATTATATGGTAAACATTTCATTCAATTTAAATTCACAGTCGCTGTCGTCACTAAATCCGAAAACTTTTCTCTCAGAATTCACCACTCGCAAAAGAGTTCCAAATAGAAGGTCCCAACTTTCATAAGAAATCAAGACTAATAAATCACAGCCAACGGATTTATAGGTTATGCGCGGAACCTAAAGACCAACCTCTGGTTCAGAGATAAGCTAAATGTATGCGCGAACATGGAACAAAACTTTACTTCGGGACAGGCATTTTAAAAATGTATTCTGAAACTGCTGAAGAGTATAGAAGAGAAAAAAACATTGGTTACGAAAAAATAAATAAGATTTAAAATTCCGCATATTTAGAATGATTATAAAATGTGATAAAAATAATCATTAATTGCCTATTATTATTATTAACTAGTTTTTTTTCGAAGTTGTCGACTACCTTTATTTAATAAAATACGATTTTACAGTAAATTGTCTAACATAATAGTAAATAATAATATATATTATTCAAAATCAAGAGATTTTACAAATATGATTTTACTTTGGAGACGTATTGTCATGCGAATTAATTGAGTTTAATGCAGCTTCAAAATTTCATAAACAAATTTAAAGTACAATCATGAAACATTTTCAAGTAAATCACTGTTTAAATAGAAAAAAAATTGAATTATACATAAATATAATTTTTGATTTTAAAAATAAAAATGCAATTTTCAAGTTAAAAACATACATTCCACCCAACCGCATGAAACTAAGAGTCAATATATATTATTTTGAACAGATTTGAACTGAAATAAACAACATATATTTTACGATAATAATTGTATAGTTTAATAATTTGGCTTTTATAAACTAAACATAAACTTAAGATGTTTGATTTATATATATATATATATATTTTTTATTTATTTGTTATAAAAAAAACTCTACAGTTGCTTTGTCCATTGATTGCAATTTTATCAGAATATTTGGAGATATTATTAATTMACTAAAATATACTTATTTTTCTCAATTTCTTAATTTGTTAATTTATTGTAATATGTTTTTTATATTATTCAAGCGAGTATACAATTAGTGAATACAGTAAAACCTCTCTATAACGGAATCGCTTGGGATCAAATATTTTTCTGTTATAAAGAGTTTGTCGTCATAGAGAAGTAGAAGTTTCATATATTATTTGTCCTATTGGGACTATTGGACATTTTTCGTTATAAGGAGGTTTCCGTTTAATAGAGGGTCCGTTATAGAGTAGTTTTATTGTAATATTATAAGCATATAGATAATAGATATAAATATATTTTCAAATTGGACTACAAAAATCATTAAAGTTAATGTTTTAGTAAAGCTAATTGTTGTTGGAGTAATAAAAAATTGTAAATTTTTTTTAGTAAATAGCTATTAATAATACAACTGTGATTGCTCAGATGTAAACTTAAATTGACAACCAAACGTTTTTTCCAATTTAAGTGGAATTGTGTTATAACAGATTGTATTTAGTTTTACAACAAATCAGCACAATGTTTTTTTTATTTAATAAAAGAAAACCAATGTGTATAATGTGTATCTTTTTTCCAAAGAAAAATATTTTTGCTTTTACATCAATAAGAATTGTCATGACTGCTATTTTACCCTTCCTCCTGTCTAGCTTGACTCTTTTTTAAAAGGATAACTTCCGCAATAATTTTCTGGTTTCCCTACGCGCCTGTTATCTTTACCAGTATTTCCCATTGCCATAACAATAAATATTATTGTTTCCTGTTTTGACTTTTTCCCCTCGTCATTTTTTTTACCACACAAAAATCGTTTAAGTTATTCTAACTTTCTCCTTCTCAAGACTATTTTATGAAAATCACAAATTGAAACTGTCATGTAAAAGACCATTTATTTAGATGATAACATAACTTATAAAAACATATGAAAAAAGTAAAGTTGAACTACAATCAATTGAATGATTAGCAAAAATTAAAAATTAAAGTGACCTATTAAACATTAGATTAACAAATTAACAAATATTAATTATGGCTTATTTAAAACATTATACGATTTAGATCCGTTCTTTATATTTGACATATTTTACCATGTATATTGTATGAGCACACCACACACATATTATTATTCCCTAACTTTTGTTTTTTACCTGCATGCATATACCTATGGCTAAATGAGTACTAGGTATTACACAATCAGGGAATGATTATGAAACGATATAAGCGCAAGTGATGTATTTGATACCTGTTGGTACCTACTAGAAAAATCAATGTGTGCGCTATATATTTAAATTAATGTTTATTCTGGAATTACACCTAAATATCAGTGTTTTATTTTAAAGTATGTAACATAATTCAATAATCGAACTTATACGACGATAAAAACTTAATATGTTTGAAAGTTTATGTAAAGTTATTGTAAATGAAATAAAAGATTCTTAGAATTTTGATAACAAATATTAATATTATTGAAAAATCTTTTGAATAATGGTTTTCGATTAGGATAAAATTACAAGTGTTCATTGACAATATTATTTGTACCTACTTTATATCCAATATTATATCACGATATGGCATGCTCGTTAGATTTACCTTCTACTCACATCGACCATATTCACATTGTGCTTTGTTATTCAAGTTTTTTTAATCAAAAAAAAAAAGTTTTCGGAACTCGTATTGACAACGGAAAACAAAGTTTTGTACAAATGCTTACTACAGCTTTTGTAATCGAAGCTGCCACGGTAGAATTTAAGAAGAACAAGAGTAAACAAATAAAGATAGAGTAATTTTATTATGAATAAGTTAAACTTAAAACGGAGAAAAATGTATGACAACGCCATTGTCTTCGTCATTTATCTAAATTTTATTTGAAATTTTATTTGATACACAAATTTAATGAACAACCAAAAGAAATATTGTTCGTTAGAGCTTATGGCGTACTGGTAGGTGAAAAGTTTTGATTGAAGTCACTGCAAATAATAATAAACTTTTAAATATAATACTAGATAACAATAGAATGGTGAGAAAAACGCCTTAAAAATTATTATTTTTATATGAACTTAACAAACTTGAACGGTATATTCCAATAACATAATATATAATATAGAGTTTTTAGAAACTGAGAATTGAATAATGAAAAAAGTGCGATAAGAAAATAACTTTTAAGTGAATCGTTTTACTAGTAACCACGTTTTTAAATCAAATAAAATATAAGCTATTTTTCGTCTAAGTTTTTGATGAGCGAAGCGACGAATGTATTGATTTTACAATGATTTGAGTTTTTTTTAGTATCTGAAGAAACTAAGTAGAGAGATACTTCAAAACTTAAATTTAAATATCTATTCTGGCTGT